GGGCAATAGAGGATGAGATGATTGAATGGCATCATTGATTCAATGGACATGAGTTTGAGCAAGCTCCTGGAGACAGTGAAGGACAGGGGAGTCTGGTGTGCTATAGTCCATGGGGGTGCAGAGTCAGACATGACTGAGCAACTGAACAATAAGTAGGTTTGTCATAGCTTTTCTTCCAAGGAGCAAGCATCTTCTAATTTCATGACTGCAGTCACTGGCCACAGTGATTTCAGAGCCCAAGAAAACAAAACAAAATCTGCTTTGGTTTCCATTTTTCCCCCATCTATTTGCCATGAAGTGATGGGACCAGATACCATGATCTTTGTTTTTTGAATGTTAAATTTGAAGCCAGCTTTTTCACTGTCCTCTATCACCCTCATCAAGAGGCTCTTTAGTTCCTCTTCATTTTCTGCCATAAGGGTGATATCATCTGCATATCTGAGGTAGTTGATATATCTCCTGGCTATCTTTATTTCAGCTTGTGCTTTATCCGGCCCGGCAGTTTGCATGATGTACTCTGCATAGAAGTTAAATAAGCAGGGTGATAATATACAGCTTTGATGTTCTCCTTTCCCAGTTTTGAACCAGTCTATTGTTTCATGTCTAGTTCTACCTGTTGACTCTTGACCTGCATACAGGTTTCTCAGGAGGCAGGTAAGGAGGTCTGGTATTTCCATCTCCTTAAGAATTTTCCAGTTGGGCTTCCTTGGTAGTTCAGAGGTTAAAGCGTCTGCGTGCAATGAGGGAGACCTGGGTTTGATCTCTGGGTTGGGAAGATCCCCTGGAGAAGGAAATGGCAACCCACTCCAGTATTCTTGCCTGGAGAATCCCATGGACGGAGGAGCCTGGTAGGCTACCACGGGGTCGCAAAGAGTCGGATGCAACTGAGCGACTTCACTTTCACTTAAGAATTTTCCAAATATTGCTGTGATCCACAGAGTCAAAGGCTTTAGCACAATCAATGAAGCAGAAGTAGGTGTCTTTCTGGAATTCCTTTGCTTTTTCTATGATTCAACAGATGCTGTCAATTTGATCTCTGGTTCCTCTGCCTTTTCTAAATCCAGATTGTACATCTGGAAGGTCTCTGTTAACTACTATTGAAGCCTAGCTTGAAGGATTTGAGGTATAACCTAACTAGCTGTGAAATGAGCACAACTGTATGATTGAATATTCTTTGACATTGCCTTACTTTGAAATTGGAATGAAAACTGACCTTTTCAGGCCTGTGGCCACTGTTGAGTCTTCCAAATTCGCTGGTATATTGAATGCAGCACTTTAATGATGCCATATTTTAGGATTTGAAATAGCTCAGCTGGAACTCCACCAGCTTTATTTGTAGTGATGCTTCATAAGGCCTGCTTGACTTCACACTCCAGGATGTCTGGCTTTAGGTGAGTGATCACACCATCATGGTTATCTGGGTCATTATGACTTTTTTTTCCCAGTAGTCATGTACTGATATGAAAGTTGGACCATAGAGAAGGTTGAGCACTGAAGAATGGATGCTTTTGAATTGTGTTGCTGGAGAAGACTCTTAAGAGTCCCTTGCCCAGCAAGGAGATCAAATCCATCAATCCTAAAGGAAGTCAACCCTGAATATTCATTGGAATGACTGATGCTGAAGCTCTAATACTTTGGTCGCCTGATGCAAAGAGTGGATTCATTGGGAAAGACCCTGATGCTGGGAAAGACTGAGGGCAAGAGGAGAAGGGGGCAAAAGAGGATGAGATGGTTGGATGGCCTTACTTACTCAGTGGACATGAGTCTGAGCAAACTCTGGGAGATAGTGAAGGACAGGGAAGCCTGGCATGCTGCAGTTTATGGTGTCACAAAGAGCTAGACATGACTTAGCTACTGAACAACAAAAAAGAATTTTTTGTGTAGTTCTTCTGTGTATTCTTGTCACCTCTTCTTAATCTCTTGTGCTTCTGTTAGATCCATACAACTTCTGTCTTTTATTGTGCCTGTCTTTGCATGAAATATTCCCTTGATCTCTCCAGTTTTCTTGAAGAGATCTCTAGTCTGTCCCACTTTATTGTTTTCCTCTATTTCTTTGCACTGTTCACTTAAGAAGGCTTTCTTATCTCCCCTCTGGAAATCTGCATTCAGTTGGGTATATCTGCCCCTTTCTCCGTTGTCTTTTGCTTCTCTTCTTTTCTCAGTTATTTGTAAGGCCTCTTCAGACCACCACTTTGCCTTCTTGTGTTTCTTTTTCTTTGGGATGGTTTTGGTCACCACCTCCTATACAGTTATGAACTTCCATCCATAGTTCTTCACATTCTCTGTCTATCAGATCTAATCCCTTGAATGTATTTGTTACCTCCACTGTTTAATAATAAGGATTTTGATTTAGGTCATACCTGAATGGTCTTGTGGTTTTCTTTACTTTTTAAAATTTAAGCCTGAATTTTGTAATAAGGAGTTCATGATCTGAGCCACAGTCATCTCCAGGTCTTGTTTTTTTTTTTTGTTTTTGTTTGACTTTAGAGAGCTTTTCCATCTTCAGCTGCCAAGAATATAATCAGATTTTGGTATGACCGCCTGGTGATGTTCATATTTAGAGTCATCTCCTGTGTTCTTGGAAGAGGGTGTTTGCTTGACCAGTGTGATGTTCTCTTGGAAAAATTCTGTTAGCCTTTTCCCTACTTCTTTTTGTGCTCCAAGGTCAAACTTGCCTGTTACTCCAGGTATCTCTTGACTTTCTACTTTTGCATTTCAGTCCCCTATGATGAAAAGGACATCTTTATTGGTGTTAGTTCTAGAAGGTCCTATAGGTCTTCAGCCATTCAACATCAGCCTTTTTGGCATTAATTGTTGAGGCATAGACTTGGATTACTATGATGTTGAATTGTTTGCCTTAGAGATGAACTGAAATCATTCTGCTTTTTTTTTGGAGATTGCACCCAAGTACTGCATTTCAGATGCTTTCATTGAGTATGAGGGCTACTCCATTTAGTCTAAGAAATTCTTGCCCACAGTAGTAGATATAATAGTCATCTGATTTAAATTTATCCATTCCCATCCATTTTAGTTCACTGATTCCTGATAAGTTGATGTTCACTCTTGCTGTCTCTTTGCTGACCACTTGATTATTGGACCTAACATTCCAGGTTCCTATGCAATATTGTTCTTTATAGCATCAGTAAAAAGGGAGTAAATAGGCCGACTTTGTCTCCTGTAAACATGTTAAGGTAATAGTCATGGCAACAATCAACAAACAAAGAGGGGCGAAACTGTGTTTGAGTAAAGAATTAAGGGATCTCTACTCCTTTTTGGGACATGTGAGATACTACTCATGTGCAGAAAGTTTCCTTGTGGGTCAAAATCAGGGAATAATGCCAGGCCATAATGGCTCTTGCTCTTCCCAGAAACCTTCACTTCGAGATCCAGCTTGGCTGAGGGGGGTGGGTGCACACCCAGGGGAGAGTCCTGAGACAAATTAGCCTGGGAGGGAGCTGTGGGCAAAGCAAGATGACTAGCTTGAAGGAAGACAAAGATCCGAAACACTGCTGCCCCTTGTAGCTCAGTTCTTAAAGAATCTGCCTACAATATAGGAGACCCGGGTTTGATTGCTGGGTTGGAAGGATCCTCTGGAGAAGGAAATGGCAACCCACTCCAGTATTCTTGCCTGGGAAATCCCGTGGACAGAGGAGCCTGGCGGGCTAGAGTCCATGGGGTCCCAAGCATTGGACATGACTTAATGACTAAACCACCAAGCGTCCCAGACGTGGGACTCTTTCTAGTTCGCCATTGTGTCTTTCCATATGTACTTTTCTTTTTCAACATACTTTTCAGTTTTACCTTTTGCCTCCTCGTCTGAATTCTTTCTTGACTTAGCAGGCAAGGACCAGGGCTGTCCAGTGGCAGGTCCTCTCCTACCCCTGAAAGGTTTGGAAAAACACTAGCATGGCCCCCAGCTGACAAGCCACCACTCCACGATGACCCAGCTCCCCTAAAAGGCCCGCCGGAGAGAGCCCAGCATGGCCAGCACCCACCCAGGCCCTGGCCCCCTTCTTGGAGCTGTCCCTGAGCAGGATCCTCCTCTGCCCTTGGGGAGTGTCCAGTCTCCTCGGTCCCCGGTGTCTCTGAGGACGGAGTCCTGGCTCCATCCTACACCCAGGCCAGCCGGCGGACACAGCGACCTCATCGCATGCGGGTGGCCACCCTTCCTGGTCCCTCTCTGGAGCCTGGGGGTCCCTCCCGCTTTTCCTGTGACACAGCCAACACCTTTGTGCAGCCCAGGCTGAGCGCAGTGTCTCCAGCACCCTCTGAGGTCCTCCTCACTGACCAGTGTGTCCTGAGCACTGAACCAGGTCTGGGTGCTCCCTTTGACACCCCTCCCTCAGCTGCCCCTCCTGCCCTGCCTTCACTGGTGTCCCCTCCTGCTCTTGGTTTCCTGCACCAACTCACCTGTTTGGGGCAGAATTGTGACCCCAAATTCACATCTTGCAGCCCTGACCCCCAGACCTCAAGCATCACTGCATTTGTAGGTGGGGTCTCTAAAGAGGTGATGAGGGTGAACTGGGATCCCAGGGTGGGCCCTCATCCAGTCTGACTGGAGATCCTCTAAGAGGAGGTGAGGGCAGAGACAGGTACAGAGGGGCGCCCATGTGAAGACACAGCATCTGCACCCCATGGAGACAGGCCTCAGGAGGAGCCAGCCCTGTGCTCCTGGATCTAGGGTCCCAGGCTCCAGGGTGTGGTCCAAGCCCCCTGTGGTGTTTGTTTCAGCCTCTTGTGCTGACCACCCAACATGGGGCACTTGTCTGTGGCTCCCCTGGTGCAAGGCTGGCCTCTGCCTACGAGGGGGAGTGGGAGCCCTAGAGGTGGCTAGGGGGTGGGAATGAGGCACCCCAGGGTCAGGTAGGGATAGGGAGCAGGGACTCTAGGTGCAGGTGGAGGGGGGCAGGAAGCCTAGGGGCCAGTGGGGGTGGGGCGGCCAGGCTGTGGACTCCACGAAAGGAGAAGGTATGTCAACATACGGAGACTGGCCAGTGGGCTAGGTGAAGTAAAGTTGCTTTATTGTCATTAAACAGATAAAGAGACAGCAAAGAGAAAGAACAGGTCCGCACATTATACAGAAGCTTCCCAAGCTCTGAGGCTATGGTCCTTCCTTCCAGTCCTAGGGGCAGCGCCTCCCATCCAGAGACACCCATGCACATTTCTGCAATGATGGGAGAGTCTGTACTGGGAGGCGAGGCAGGGCTCTGGGGCCTGGGGCTGGGCCTTTGTGGGTCTCTGGTCTCGCCTCTCACCCCCGCTCTCGGTGCAGAGGCTGAGCTCCTGCAGGACGTGTCAGGCTGTTGGTCGCAGGATGGACTGGCTGCCCTGCCGTCCTATATTCTGGGAGCCCCTCCAGCTCTGTGCACTGGGGACCAGTCACCAGGCCCCTCTCCAGGCGGTCCGTCTGGCTGGACGTCACCCCTTTCCCCACCAGGGCTCCTGCAGCAGCGTTCTCGGTGGAGGTGACCTGAGTAACCATTAGTGGTCCTCACAGGAGCTTCCCTGCTGGGAGGCTGGGCCCCCGTAGGACAGCTGTTTCCAAGGATCTGACACAGGGCCCTCCCCCAGGGACCTGTGGTCTAAATCCCGACCTGGACAAGATGCAGGGACTGGGCCCTGTGCATACGGTGTGGGATCCCAGCTTCCTTCTTCAGAGACCCTGTGGTCTGGATCCTGGCCTGGACAAGATACATTGCATGGGAGGAGGTGCCCTGTGCAGATAGCCCTGGACCCAGCCTCCTGCTCCTCCAAGCAGAACTGAACTCCGACCTGTGTGTTCCTGGTGGGGGACTTGCAGCCCATTGGTGTTTTGCAGTCTTCCCAGAGGCCCTGAGCATCCATCAGCTGGGGTAGGGTCATCGCCTGCTATCCATTTGGGTCTTCAGGGGCGGGGGCAGGTTTTGGTGACCGTGAGGCCTGCAGGTAGAGATGCGGCGAGGCTGGCCAAGAGGTCAGAGGTCGCTGGGTCAGAGTGCGAAGGAGCACGTCTGGTGCAGGTTGAGGCTCGAAATAATGGACGCTGTCCAGTCGGGTCTGGGGCGGCCCTGGTCTCTGTTCACAGGAGCTCTAGGCGCCCTGTCCAATCATGTTTCTGTAGTCAGGGACAATTGTCCTCTTCAGCTCCACCACTGATGAGAAGATCCACTTCACCTGGGGTGGGGGGACAGGGTGAGCAGACTGGACCCCACATGGACCTCCCCCAGGGGCAGTGATGAAACAGCAAGGGGACAGTGAGTGGAGAGCGAGGGGACGGGGAGTGAACACAGAGTGAGAGTAATGGACAATGAATGGATAGTGAGGGACAGCAATGGGACAGACTGGACAGTGAGGGAGAGGGAGGGAGAGGGAGCGAGAGGGAGGGAGAGAGAGGGAGAGTGAGGAGAGTGAGGGAGAGTGAGGGAGAGAGAGGGAGAGAGAAGGAGAGTGAGGAGATTGAGGGAGAGTTAGGAGAGTGAGGAGAGAGAGGGAGAGAGAGGGAGAGTGAGGGAGAGAGAAGGAGAGTGAGGAGAATGAGGGAGAGTGAGTAGAGTGAGGAGAGAGAGGGAGAGAGAGGAGAGTGAGTGACAGTGAGGGAGAGTGAGTGACAATGAGGGATGGAGAGGGAGAGTGAGGGAGAGTGAAGGAAAGTAGGGCCACTGGAGGACAGTATGGTCCCTGAGGGGACAGTGAGGTGACAGTGAGGAGAGTGAAGGGACAGTAGGTACTCTGGTGGACAGTATGGTCAGTGAGTAGACAGTATGGTCAGTGAGGGAACAGTTCAAGTACAGTGATGGACAGTGATGGGATGCTGACATTGATAGGGGCAAGATGACAGAATAAGTGATTAAATAGTTAATTTGACTAGGGGATTATAAATAGAAAAATACAGGAACCTCCTCTAAATTGATTACTCGAGAAAGCATGTTGGTGTAACCAAGACTGAGCAGTCTTTCTTAGCAACAAAACTGTACCACAGAAGCCCAGGATATGCTCCAAAACAGTGAAGCAATTATGGTGTGAGACCCACATCCTGCCCAGAGAGCTCAGGGAGCTAATGACCCCTGAGTTAAAGCAGGCTCTGTGCACACAAAAAGCGATCATTTATGGGAAGGTGACTTTCAAAATGAAAGACCCTCATTTTACTGAGACCCAAAATATTTTCCGGAGTCTACGACAGTCCTGACTTGACCATCTAGGGAGGGAAAAGTAAACTCCTCTACCCTACCTTGGGGAGGAACTGTTGACCAAATATGACTTTTACTCAAGAGAGACCAAGAAGTTGTTTTCCTTTCCCCACTTCTTCGATGGAAAACGGTGTCCACGAAGTTCTCAGGGAGCAGCACTGCTCCACCACTGCTCGTGAGTGTCACAAGCCTCCTAGTCTAAAAAATCATTTCTCATCTACCACTTTACCCTTGCTGAATTCTCCCCGTCGATTTGAGGGACTGTGTGTGGTACAGAAGCTCTTCAGATGCCCTCTGAAATGACCCCAATCTGTTTAAAGGTGACAGCAATGGGAAAGCAAACAGACAGAGAGGGACAGTGAGAGGCAGTGAGGGACGGGGAGGGACATTGAGGGGACCCTGGGGACAGACGGGGGCCCGAGGGCCCAGTGGGGTGTCCCCCCACCTTGAAGAGGGTCACGGTGGCGCTGTAGCAGACGCTGAGCAGGAAGAGCGTGATGAAGATGGAGATGGTCGTCCAGAGCCCGTCCAGCTCCCCGTCCTGGGCGTCCGCACAGCTCTCCTCCTCCAGGCGCAGGTCTGCACAGGGAGGGGTGGTCAGTGCTGTCTCTGCCCACGGGGGGCTGGGCAGGGTCATCGGGGCCTCGGGGCAGGGCTCCCTCTGGGGGGAAGGTGGGCTGGGCAGGGGTCACCTGAGGTCAGTCTCTGGGCCCCAGCCCCAGCCCCCACCCCTCCAGCCCTGGCCGCTGTCTGGGCCTGGCCTGTGGGGTCCTGCTCCCATCCTGAGCTGCGCCCTGACCTGGGGCCCAGATCCCACCTCCCCGCAGGACAGAGGCTCAGTTCCCGGCCTTCTCTGCCCTGGGGGCCAGGCCTGGAGCCAGGAGGGTCAGCGGAACTGGGAGGGTCAGCAGAGCACATGTGCCTGGGCCCTGGCCCTGGGGAGGGAGGGCAGACAGCGCCGGGCTGTGTCCCGGTGCCCGAGGGTGAGGGTGCCGGGCTGAGGGGCTGAGGGGGGATCTCAGCCTGCGAGGGAGGGGCGTGGGTGCCCCAGGGGAGGCGAGGGACGGATGTCTGATCTGGTCAGTGTGGTCAGTGTGGGGAAGGGCTGCTGAGAAGCCCATGGGCGCTGGAGGGTGGGGACCAGCTGGTGTCCACTGTGAGGGCTCACGAGAACCAGCTCTGGGTCTGGGCCTGTGGGGTCGCCCCATGGGTCCTTAAGTGTGAGACCTGAGTGTGTGCAGGGGTCGTGGGTGTGTGTTGGGGGTCAACTGTGCTCAGGTGGGCACCTGAGTGTGTGTGGAGGAGGCTGGGTGTGGGCTGTCTTGTGTGTGTGCGGGGCTCTGGGCTCAGAGGCCGCAGGGAGCAGGTAGGTCCCTGGCCTGGACGTTCAGGGCTCCGGCCGGGGCCCCTTTCAGGCACAGGGATGACATCCCCGTGAGCGCACAGGCCTGGCCCCGGGCAGGGAGAGCCTCCTGGATGGGGGAGAGTGAGGCCTGACCTCGGGAGCCCGAGGTGATGCAGGGCCACCCCCGGGCACGCCTGGCTCCCAGGCAGGTCCAGAGTGGACACATGGATGCTGGACACCCAGGGACAGGGGCCTGGGGACAAGGATGAGGCCCTGCCCCACAGCGTGGGCTGAAGCAGAGGCGGGAAGCATTGGGCCTCAATCCCTGAGGGTCTCGGGGGCTTCCCTCATTCCTGTCCAGAGTCCGGCGCAGCAGATAGTGGCTGGAGGGGGCCATGGAGCTGCACCTCTGGCCAAGCCCCTCCGCGGCCTCGGGCAGCCCCCAGGTGGCCTGCTGGACCCACTCGGTGTGTGTCTGGCCTTGGGGGTTGGGAGTCAGATCCCCCAAAATGGTGAACAAAGTGGCCCAGAGTCGGCCCAGCCACCCCCTGCAGGCCTGGCAGTCACCAGGGCTCTGCCTCGGAAAGAACCAGCACAGCGTTGCAGGGTCCCAGGGCGGCACTGGGTGCTTTATTCATGGCGGCCCAGGAGGAATGCACACAGGGAGGGGCTGGGGGTCCTGACTGGACCTGGAGCCCGGGGGGTGGGTTGGGTGAGGGCTTGCTGGTGCAGGGACGTGTGGCTCATTTACCCGGAGACTTAGAGATGGACTTCTGTGTGTAGTGATTGTGCAGAGCCTCATGCATCACTATACACGTGTAGCTGTCTCCTTCTAGCCAGCTGCTCTTGTTCACCCTGAGCCTGCTGTACAGGAAGTAGGAGCCGTCGGCGTCCAGCTGGGGTGGGGTCGTGCCGTACTTGCCCTCCGACTCAGGCTGCCCATCTCTCTGCCACTCCACGGCGATGTAGTCTGGGTAGAAGCCGGTGATCAGGCAGGTGAGGCTGACCGTGTTTTTGCTGAGCTCTTCCCGGGGTGGGGCCAGGACGTACACCTGCGGCTCCAGGGCCTGCCCTGTGGGGACAGGAAAGGCTGTTAGCACAGCGGTCACTCTGATTGGCCCACAGGACCCTCCTAGGCCGGTCCACCTGGCCCACCTTTGGTCCTGGAGATTGTTCTCACGATGGGGGCCGGGAGGCCTTCGTTGTAGACCTTGCACTTGAACTCCTTTCCCCCAGTCCAGTCCTGGTGCTGGATGGGCAGGGCGCTGACCACGCGGTAAGTGCTGTTGAACTGCTCCTCTCTCGGCTTTGTCCTGGCCGTGTGCACCTCCACGTCATTCACGAACCAGGTGAACTTGACCTCGGGGTCATCCTGGCCCACGTCCACCACCACACACGTGACCTCGGGTGTTCCAGAGATTGTGAGGGTGTCCTTGGGTTTCGGGGGGAAGATGAAGACAGACGGTCCTCCGGGGAGGTCAGGGGCTTTGGGGAAGACATAACAGGTGTCAGCCCCTGGGCAGACCTCCTCTTGGGCCTACACAGCCTCACCTGTGGCCCTCCAGAACATTGTCCACATCCGGGGTGTGAAGGTGAGACTGGGTGACTTACCTGGGCATGGGGAAGGTGGGCAGATTTTATTACATCCGGGCCCTGCAGAGAGAGCAGACTGGGGGTTACCAGGAGCAGGAAGCCAGGGGCTGGGCTTAGGGCAGGGGAGGATTTTGGCAGGTCTGAGCCCAGGGCCCGCCTCTGTGGGTCCAGGCGGGTGGACGTTGTCCAGCCTGCGGCCACCCTGGATGTGGTGGAAACTCCAGACGACCCCCTCCCCAAGCCTGAGAGACCTTCAGGAGAGGAAGACAGACAGGCCTCCCCTGACACGAGGGGCCTGGTTTACATCATCCCTGGGGTGGGGTCCTGCAGGCAGGGGGGCTGACCCTGGTCTCCTGGAGTGGACAACCTCCCCGGGGCCTGTCTTCTCACCAACACGCTTGTCCACCTTGGTGCTGCTGGCCGGGTGGGCTACGTTGCAGGTGAAGGTCTGGGATCCTGAGGTGCTGGCGGGCACGGTCACGATGCTGCTGAGAGAGTAGAGCCCGGAGGCCTGCCGGACAGCCGGGAAGGTGTGCACACCGCTGGTCAGGGCACCTGAGTTCCAGGTCACGGTCACCGGCTCGGGCATGTAGCTAGAGACCAGGCAGCCCAGGGTCACGGTGGAGCTGGACGTGTCCCCGCAGCTGGAGGCCAGAGGGTAGACTTTCGGGGCTGTGGTGGAGGCTGTGAGAGAGGAGGCTGGGTGAATGCTGGGTCCGGCAGGACCTCAGGTGCCCAGGCCTGGGGCCACGGCTGAGACCAGCCACCGTGTGCTTCCAGAGTCTGACGACCGGCCGGCATGGTCTGGCCACCCTGCTCTGTGCGCGGCAGCTGGGGTGTCTGGACACAGCTGGGGTCAGTGAGTGTGGGCTCCTGGATCAGAGCCCCGAGGCCGCTCCCCTCCAGTGGGTGCCTGGCCTGACCCGTGCCCCCTGCTCCCCCATCCTGGTCAGCTTCCTGGGCCTGCAGCCCATCTGACCACCGAGCAGGCGCCCCATGTCCCCTTGGCCACTCGCACCACCCTTTCAAGCACACTGTGCCAGGCCCGGCCCCACTTTGGCTCCTGATCCACACAGGCTGCCGGGACAGGCGGACCGTCGGCCCAGGAAGTACAGCCCACTCGGTGCCCTCAGGGCGCCCCTTCCCTGCAGCCCCAGAGCCCTTCCTCTTGGGTCTTTGCTGCTCCTTGCATCGTTCTCCATGCAGACCCTCCACCAAACAGCATTCCCGTTAGCTTGAGGGGCGGCCCACACCCCTTGTCTCAGCCCTCTGCCTCACCAGCTGTGGCCTGAGCTCTCCTGGCCCTGGGCCCCTGCTCCCTGATCCCCGCCGCTCTCCCTCGTCCAGCACCCACACCCCTGGTCTCAGTCCTCTGGACTCAGCTCCGGGCGGCTGTGCTCTCGGACCCATCTTCTCTGCAGGGCTCACACTGCCCAGTGTCCCTGCGTCTGGCGCCACAGCACAAACGGCCCCTTGCACCCTAGGAGCCTTTCCTACTGAAGTGCTCAGCACACACATGGTCCGCTGAGTTCGTAGGCAGGGACCTGACATCCCAGCCCCTGCTCAGCTGTACAATCTTTGCTCCCCTAAAACCCTGGGAGAGCTCCCTGAATTCCCAGCCCCTTGCTTATTCCCAGAAGCTGTAACCACTCCCCCAAATCTCTAAGGGCACCCCCTGTCCTCCCAGTCCCCTGCTCATCCCCAGAAGCTCTACCTGCTCCCCTAAATCTCTTGAGGTAACCCTGCCCTCCCAGCCCCCTGCTCGATCTCACAAGCTGTACCTGCTCCCCCAAATCTCCAGGGGCACCTCCTGCCCTCCCAGCCCCTGCTCACCCTCACAAGCTGTACCTGCTCCCTCAAAGCACCAGGGACCCCCTTGTCCTCCCAGCCCTTGCTCACCCTCATAATCTGTGTCTGCTCCCCCAAAGCACCAGGGGCTCCTCCCTGTCCTTCTAGCCCCTGCTCACCCTCACAAGCTGTACCTGCTCCCCCAGATATCCAGGGGCACTCCCTGTCCCCCAGCCACTGCTCACCCTCACAAGCTCTATTTGCTCCCCCAAATCTCCAGGTACACCCTCTGTCCTCCTAGCCTTCAGCTCACCCACAAGCTGTACCTGCTCCCCCAAATATCCAGGGGCTCCCTCTGCCCTCCCAGCCCCCTGCTCAATCTCACAAGCTGTATCTGATCCCCCAAATCTCCAGGGGTTCCCCCTGTCCTCCCAGCCCCTTGCTCACCCCCAAAAGCTGTACCTGCTCTCCCAAAGTACCAGGGGCCCCCTGTCCTCCCAGGCCCTGGTGACCCCCAACAGCTGTACTTACTCCCCCAAAGACCAGAGCATCCCCTGTCCTCCCAGCCTCCTGCTCACCCTCGAAAGCTGTAGCTGCTCCCCTAAAGCACTAGGGAAACCCCCTCTCCTCCCATGCTCTGCTCACCCCCAAAAGCTGTACCAGTTCCCCCAAAGCACCAGGGGCACCCCCTGCCCTCCCAGTACCTGCTCACTCTCACAAGCTATACCTGCTCCCCCAAAGCACCAGGGGCTCCCCCTGCCCTCCCAGCCCCCTGCTCACCCTCACAAGCTGTACATGCTCCCCCAAAGCACCAGGAACTCCCCGTTTCCTCCCAGCCCCCTGCTCACCCTCACGAGCTGTACCTGCTCCCCCAAAACACCAGGGGCTCCCCCGGCTGTCCCAGTCCCCTGCTCACCCTCACAAGCTGTACCTGCTCCCCCAAAGCACCAGGAGCTCCCCCTTTCCTCCCAGCCCCCTGCTCATCCTCACAAGCTGTACCTGCTCCCTGAAAACACCAGGGGCTCCTCCTGTGCTCCAGGCCCCCTGCTCACCCTCATATGCTGTACCTGCTCCCCCAAAGCACCAGGGCATCCCCTTGCCCTCCCGGCCACTGCTCACCTGTGGCCTCGCTGAAGCCTGTCCCTGGGCTGTCATCTCAGCCTCCCCTGCCCCTCTGGCCCTTCCAGGACTCCTCACTCCTGCCCAGCTCCAGTCCTCACTCCTTTATTTCCTGGGCTCAGCTCTCCTCCCTGGACTTGCCAGGTGCCCCGCGGCCTCCGGGAAGCTCTCCCCTGGAGGCGCTCTGTCCACCTGGGCCCCTCCCAGTGGAGGTCCTGCCCTTGCCCTCCGCTCTTCTCTGTCCGTCCACCCACGCCCTCCTCTGGCCCCTTGCTGCCTCCAGTTTTTGGTCACCTGCCCTCTGCCCAGCTCCTGCTCCTGGTCCTCAGGGCTTGGGCTCAGGTCAGCCCTCCCGTGTCCCAGGGAGGCTGCGGGCTCAGCGCTGTGCTGCCCGCTGTGGACATGGAGCCCGACGGCCCTGCAGCCCTGTGCCTGGCTCTGCCACTGCGCTCGGCCCCAGCCCAGTTGGGACCAACAGCCACCACACGTGGCCCTGCACTGGGACCCACGCCGGCTCCACGGGCCTGTCCAGGAGCCTTCACTGCCCTGGGGTCCTCTCCCTTCCCTGCGTCCTCACATCAGACTCTCCTTCCATCCTGGCTGGTCCTCCTGCCCACCCAGCCCCGGCCTCCATATCACTTGGTCACGCACAGCCCTCCCCACCTGTCCCCAGCCCCTCCTGCTCCTCAACGGCCCAGCAGCCCCTCAACCTCCCCAGCCCCAGGCAGCAGTGCTCTTGGTGCGGTGCGCCCTGCCCGGGTTCCGTCCCCAGGTTCCATCCCCGGGTTCCGTCCCGCACTCGTCCCGCACCGTGACCAGGGGCAGCTGCCTCCCCCGGGCCCCGCTCGGCTGCTCCAGCCCTTCCGGGGGTCCCGAGGCCGGTCTCCCTGCAGGTCTCTCATTCCTGCGTTCGCTCACCCTCGGAGCCCCCACTCACCCATGGTGGGGGCCGTGGAGGGGGCTTCCCTGCAGCCTGGGGCTCCGGGCCCCTTCCCTGCTCTGGTCCCAGACACATGTGGCTCCTGGAGTCTGTGCGCTGTGTCTGCAGCTCTGCTTCCTAGGACTTGGTCACCAGTCCCAGGAGGCGTGAAGTCCCTTCCCCCAGTGCCGTGAAGACTAAGAACAGGAATGAAACCTGGTGACGCGACTTGCTTCCTGAAGTTCTCTTTTCTTCTGAGTGTTTTCTGTCTCAGAGGGCCTGAGGGAGTCCAGATGCAGCTGAGGTGCGTCTTGTGGGTTGGTGGGGTGGTTTAAGCTGCCCCCGGGCACCCAGGGGAGGAGTGGGAATCGTAGCTGTCACAGCTGCTCCTCTTCCTCATGCATTGTGTCTGGTCAACACACCACATCCCAGGGATAAATTAGGAGTTTGGTGTTAACATATCCACATGATTGCATATACAGTAGATAATCAGCAAGGACCTACAGTACAGCACAGTGAAGTGCCAAGTATAGGAATTAGAGAAGAGAAAGGAATACAAGGAATCTAAAATGGAAAGTAAGAAAAATGTCACTGTTTTCAGATGACAGGATTTAATACATACAAAATGCTAAAGAAGGTACCAGAAAACTCCTAGAGCTCAGTAATGAATTGGAAAACATTTATGGATACAAAATTAATACATAGAAATCTGTTGCATTCTATATGGCAGCAATGAAATGCCAGAAAGAGAATTTAAGGAGAGAATCCCATTTACCATCCCATCAAAAAGTAAAATACCTAGGAATAAACCTTCCCTAGGAGGCAAAGTTCCTCTACTCTGAAAGCTATAAGACACTGATGAAAGAAATTAAGGCAACACAAACAGATGAAAAGATATTCTTCAATCAGAAGAATCAATACTGTGCCAGTGACACTTCTACCCAAAGCAATCTATAGGTTCAATGTAACACCTATCAGATGACCAATGGCAATTTTCACAGATCCAGAACAAAATTTTAAAAAATTTGTTTGGAGGCATAAAGACCCCAAATAGTCAAAGCAATCTCAAGAAACAAAAGCAGAGCTGGAGGCATCGGGCTACCTGACTTCAGAGTATACTACAAAGCTACAGTCATCAAAACAATATGGTGCTGGCACAAAAACAAAATTATAGATCAGTGATCAATGAAACAGGATAGACAGCCCAAGAATAATCCCACCCACCTATGATCAATTCATCTATGACACAGGAGGCAAGAATATAAGATGGAGAAAAGACAGTCTCTTGAATAAGTTCTGCTGGGAAAACTGGATAGCTACTTTTTAATAAATGAAATTAGAAATTCTCCAGTGCCATGGGCAAAAATAAACTCAAAATGGATTAAAGACAAAAGTGTGAGGTGAAAGGCTATAAAACAGAAAGAGGGAAACATGGGCAGAACACTTTTGTATCCATCTCCTAGAGTAATAGAAATAAAAATAAAAATCAACAAATGGGACTTGATTAAGCTAAAAGTCTTTTGTACAGCATGGAAAACCATCAACAAAACAAGACTACCTGCAGAATGAGAGAAGATATTTGCAAATCTCGTGATCACTAAAATGTGTAAGCAGCTCATACAGCTCAATTAAAAAAAAAAAAAAGCTAAACAACCCATGAGGAGAGAGAAAAAATTGGCCAAAATGGCATGTTCAGGCTCTCTTGCCCGACATTTTGTAAATGGTGACTACGTAATAACTGAGATCATTTATAGCACTGCACATGCTTGTCATGAGGTACTGGCTTAGTCAAGGGTTGTGTGTGGTATCCATATGTGAGCTCCACCTAGAAAGTGGCTGCATTTACTGCTTCTGCTTTATTGACTACACTAAAGCCTTTGAATGGGTGGATCACAACAGACTGAAACATTCTTAAAGAGAGGGGAATACCAGACCACATTACCTGCCTCCTGAGAAACCTGTATGCAGGTCAAGAAGCAACAGTTAGAAATAGATAAGGAACAATGAGCTGGTTCAAATTTGGAAAAGGAGAACTTCAAGATTGTATATTGCCACCCTGCTTATTTAACTTCTGTGCAGAGTACATCATGTGAACTACTTGGATGGATGAAGCACAAGCTGGAATCAAGATTGCCAGGAGAAATATCAATAACCTCAGATACACAGATGACACCACCCTTATGGCAGAAAGTGAAGAGGAACTAAAGAGCCTCTTGATGAAAGTGAAAGAGGAGAGTGAAAAAACTGGCTTAAAACTCAACATACAGAAAACTAAGAGCATGGCATTCATGGCAAAGTAGATGAGGAAACAATGGAAACAGTGACAGACTATTTTCTTGGGCTCCAAAATCACTGCAGATGGTGACTGCAGCCATGAAATTAAAAGACACTTGTTGCACATTAGACATATAGACAGCACATTAGAAAGCAGAGATATTACTTTGCTGACAAAGGTCCATCTAGTCAAAGCTATGGTTTTTCCAGTAGTCATGTATGGATGTGAGAGTTGGACCATAAAGACAGCTAAGTGAAGAATCAATGCTTTTGAACTGTGGTGTTGGAGAAGACTCTTGAGAGTCCCTTGGACAGCAAGGAGATCCAACCAGTCCATCCTAAAGGAAATCAGTCCTGAACATTCATTGGAAAGACTGATGCTGAAACTGAACCTCCAAAACTTTGGCCACCCGATGCAAAGAACAGTCTCATTGGGAAAGATCCTGATGCTGGGAAAGCTTGAAGGCAGGAGGAGAACGGGACGACAGAAGATGAGCTGGATGGCATCACCAACTCAGTGGACTTGAGTTTGAGCATGCTCTGGGAGTTGGTGATGGACAGGGAGGCCTGGCATGCTGCAGTCCGTGGGGTCACAGAGTTGGACATGACGGAGCAGCTGGACTGACTGACGGGGTCATTGACAGGGGCCCAGGTCTCCCCACTGGGCCTCTTCCCTGCACAGGCTGCACTGTGACTGTGGTCTGGGGGAAGCCTCACGCCTGCTGCTGGGGCTCTCTTGTGCTGGTTTGACAGTGTTTGACCCCACATGCCTTTCTGGTTGTCCCTGAAGGTCTCACCCCACTTGGGGAGAGAACTTCTGGGCTTCACTGGGGCCCTTGTGTGGTTAGGAGACCCTGGATAGCCCGTTATTTGACCCAAACTGAGGCTAATCAGAAGAGAGAGCTGGACCTATGTCCGCCATTCCCCTTGTGGTCTGGGTACAGGGACCCCTGGGATGGCCCTCCATTTGCCAGCTGCTGCCCAGGGGTGAATTGCCACCATGTGAAATGAGCAATGCTGGTTCGTGGTAAGTGGGACAGGTCAAGTCCAAAAAGATACTTAGGGCTTCTCATCTAAGGCATCACCTCACAGAGGGATGGCTCTCAGTGGGCCCAGGTTCTCCTGGATCCTATTCCTCATAGGATCTTTGACCTCTATCTTTCTTCCTCTCCCCTTGGCCCACATCTATTTATCTTCTTAGAAAGATGTGTCTCCTCTAGATCACAGACATTCCATGTCCAGATGATGGTGATGCAGGATCCCAGCCTCTCCCTGCAGCAGATTTCAACCAGATGAATTCACCAGGCAGAGTTCACGGCCCAAGGTACGTAGAGTCCAGGAATCTAATACTAGCCTGAAGGAGCTACAGGACCATTACCCTCATCCCCTTAATTAGATTCCTTGGGATCCAGGTATCTCAGGGGGATTTGAGGTAGGAGACAGATGGCCCCACCAGTGGAATCAGTGTGACATCTCTCTCCCAACTCTTTCTAGTAAAGTGCCCTTAATATAAACTCCCACGAATGAACTCTGGGCTAGGTGCTTGTGGTCCCTTGGAGGTGGTTTGTGCCCCCGCCAAAGGATGTGGACAATGGGCAAAGGGAAGGGGGCAGAGGAGTGAACCTGGCCCCGAGGACCAAAGTGCCCAGCCAGGACACTTGAGTTCAAGCAAGTCGACAAAGCAGAACACTTTGTCCTGCTTCAAATACTTCAATGCCCAAAGAAACCCAAGCTCAGGCTCCACCATACCTGCTAAGCTGGCCTCCATCCCAGACTCACTGCCTCTCCCCACATGAAGGTCACACAACACTCCCACTCCCAACGGGCAGACCCTAAGAGGTCAGTCACAGTCAGTGCTGAGGCCACAGGGATACAGCTACACAGCACCAAGGCGGACCCCGTCACCACCCAACTCATCTACCCACTGAGCTCAGCCAAAGTGGCCAGTCTTTAGGCCCTGCCCCATCAGCCAGCCTAGATGGCCTGGTGAGCAAGCGACTGCATCTGGAGCCCCATGGAAACAGGGCAGAGAGATGGACACACGTGCCCTAGGGCAGGACTCCTTCAGATACAAAGAGCACTCTGCAATCAATGAGCAGAAAGACATGTGACCAGGGGGGCTTCACAAGAAGGAGAACGGGGTGACCACCAGCAGGAGGAAAATGACCAATATTTAGAAAGGGAACATAAGGAGGAAACTGGGGCAGGGGCCTTCTGGGCCTCCTGAGGGTGGTTGAGCATGTAGAGTGTACTTCAGGGCAGGGTGGCCTCGTGCCCAGGACAGAGTGCCCAGATTGTGTTGACAGGAGAGTCCACTTTCAGTGAAGACCCTTCTCACAGCCACTGTCCACGCTGGGAGATCATATCCTGTGGATGCTGACACAACCCTGCAGCCTGCAGGGATTGATGGTAGAACACTCAAGGTTGGGCAACTCAGAGGTTGTCCAGAGACCCCAAGGGTCTGGTTCACATGGAACGTGAGACCAGGAGAGAGCCTCACACAAGGCCAAGGCCACAGCCCTGGTCTGCTCCACCCTCACAGGTCAACACTCACTGGAGATCTCTTCCTGGTCAGTGGAAAGGGGGGATGCCCAGAGATCTGTGCAGGAGGTGGAGGGGCCAAGTTGCCCAGGTTAAATCCCAGGGGGCCTCATGAACATTCCTCTTTGTAAGACACAGGAACCAAGGCCAGACACTTCACAGTCTCAG